TGTAACCGGTAACCAAAGCAGAGATGGACAGGCTTGTAGCATCCTTCATAGTAGAGGTAATGTTGCCCATTTGCACAGTGGAATCACCATCGCATCGTTCAGAGATATACTGCGCAAAATACAGATAGCAGGAGACAGGACAGCCATGGTCAGAGCTATCTGGATCAGTCTTATGCGACAATGGAAGCTGAACTAAAGAGAACATTTGAAACTTTAGCAGTCTGCGTGATCTGCCTGTAGGGAGGGGCGGGCCGGCCCTGCGAGTAAAGTAACGAGTTACTTTTTGTAGAGAGTAACGAAGTAGTGTAATATATTACTTTTTTTTTAAAGTAATATGTAATATGTAATATATTACTTTTTTTTAGTAACGACCCCATCTCTGGCACTAAGTACTCTTTTTGGTGTGAACGCAACATAAGGGGTACTAACGGAACTAAACGGGAAAAGTACGGGGAAAAGTACTCCGGTGTGAACGCGCCTCTTGACTACTTGTTGTTGCTATCCTATTGTGGCATAAGCCGGCACATTTTACCGGTGTATTTTTCATTATGATTCTACTTGTGATAGTCGGACATGAGTCATGACGTCATGTGCAGCCCATGTATTGATTCCATCCGATAGCTGCTATAATACAAAACAAAACGTCTGCCTGCTCTCCACAATGATCAATGACAGCGAACGGATGGTCAAAGTACAGTAAGGTACAAATAAACAGAATCACACTAAGCCAGGTTAGTGTTGCCTGACTTTATAAAGTGTGTTTTTTTTAATAAGTGTGTGGTTGCGTTCTAGTCACTTTGGTCAGCGCTACTGCTTGTTACAACTTTCATTTGCCTTACTCACCATAAACTGTTATTGCTCAGGTTGATATTTTATGTTGAGGAACATGTTTTAAGCTTATCCACAGACCTTGGTTCCAACATCTAACCAAAAACCCATTCCAAAAAACCTATTGACTTCCAAACAATGGAATCAGCAGTTTAAAAATGCTGACTCATTTCTGGATTTTAGGACTCATTCTGCAGCAATAATTTACACTAAAAAGACAAACCATACTCAAATAATAACATGCAGCAGCAATGAGAACATACACTTTAGAAAGTTGTTTGTTGCCATCTAAACAACATCTACTACTAATGGCGCATTTCCACTACACGGTCGGCCTCGGCCACACTCGGTACGGCTCGGTACGGCTTGGCCGCGTTGGGCCTTAACAGGGCCGACTCACTTCATGCTGCGCTTCCATTACAGTTTAGGAACTGGGGTAGTTACTATAGTAACGCAGTGTAGGCGGAGCCGTGACGTCATCTTCAATGAGAAATCCAGAAACACAACACAGCCGTTAGCTGTGAGCACTCAGAGCTCACAGCTCCTTATATATGTTCAGAAACTCGACAAAAGTTAAACAAGTACACACCACAGACTGCCTGTGTCATGGTGAATACAGTCGCTGCTTTATTTATGTCTGTATAGGCCGTTGTTGTGAGTGTGTACGGTCGGGGCATATACTGCGTTAGCTTAGCCAATCTCCATCTAGAAAAACACGAATTTTAAAAGGTTTTTCGCCTGCCGTCTGTCTGCAGACTTGACAAAGCATTAATTCATGGTTTTTACTAACCGGTATCAGTATGTTGTTACTTCGGCATCATTTTGAAACGTGTATTACAATTAAATCACGGTCAAATATGTCCATCTTGTTGTAGTTCTAGCCCTCTTGCCAGCGCTCCTCTCTCTAGTTTAGCATACTCAGCCCGACTCAGCCCTGTTTGTTGGCCCCGATAGAACCACAATTTTCTAGGGCCAGAAAAGAGGGGAAAAAGTGGCCCCGCGCCGTGCCGCGCCGGAACGAGGCCTAGTGGAAGCACAACCAAAAAAGGGGACGGCACGACACGGCACGCTTAAAGCGAGCTACGCGCTGCAATGGAAATGCGCCATAACTGGGCTTACACACCAATAATAACATTAGCAGGATAATGTACATTTTATTCATTGCTCTTTTACCTTGCGGTCCAGTTTGAGAACCAATTACATGCTAAGCTAACACACGGCAGATTACACTCCTCTGAAGGCAAATTATTTTTTGTGTAAAGTGAATGATAGCACTGCACTTTACATTGGAGTGCAGCATGTGAAGTTAGCACAGTGCTACAGAGTACACATGCCAGGGTATTCTGCCTACTGTGCACTCTTGTAATGTTTGCATATAATGTAAAAGTACTTCATGTATTCTTCCTATCTTTTACAAATGCTCCCCATGTCAATATGTACGATGTTGGTTAGATATGAGTCAGTGCATCCAGCTGCTGGATTTTTACACCACCTACTGGTGGATTGTTCAAAGTAGAAAGCCAAAGAGAGTTTAACTTGAACAAAATGTACCATGAAAGGTAACTCCATTAAATGATGCCAATTTATCTCATTGCGATATGAGCAGTTCCTTCATCTGTTTTGTGCACTGCAGTGCAGGCCTATAGTAGTTTCCATCAAGAATACACAAAAAATCTAATATCTGCTCTGTCGTGGCTGATCAATCTGATATTTTACATATAATATGTCTCCCTGGACATAGGGAGAGGTAAGCAAATATGTGTGCTATTGTTACTGTTATTACGTGTCCACTTCTTTAAATGATTTTTGACTGCTGAAGCATCTACAAAAGCTACACTTTGGTCCAAAGCTTATTGAGTCTGAGTTATTCATTGTCCAGGTATTGACGCGGGCAGCAGGGAGAGTAAGGGAGGGAGAAATGGGGGGGGGGGCAGCTGTTATAAGGGGATCACCAGTGATTTCTGTCCATCCGTCAGTGACCATGCTTCATCCGCTTCACTTTCTGCTGCTAGCTTCCGCTGTGCTGCTCTGCAACACCAGCCCCACCCCTACGGTCAGTGTGTGTCTGTCTATAATAATGTGCTAATATGAGCTAGTGTTAGGAAATAAATACACATGCAATTACATCTAATCTTTACAAGATCTAAAAAATAGTGTTCTTGAGGCACCTAGCTCTCATATTCAGTCTGCAACAGGTTATGAGTATTTGTATAACTTATAAGTGTATCTACAAAGAAAAAGCTGATGACACACATCAGTGGGTTAAGGCTGCAGCGTGTGAGGTTCAATATCCGGAATGATTATCTTCCAACAATATGTTGTGTATTTGAGTGTAGTGACTCTAAAATGACATGTCAATTCTGATTTCACCTGATCCTCTTTGACGACGACGGTCACAGCGAAGTCTCTGTTGGATCATCAGACAACTTCATTATCTGTTTATCCTTAGATAAGATAACTGAGAAAAAGAGTGCTCAATTCAAAGTGAGCTGGTATTGAATTTTCCCACCATTATTTGCATTTTGTTTTTAAGAAGAGACCGGAATTAGAGTTTGTAGATAGAATGTATATTAATACTCTATTAGCGTCTTTTGATAAACACACAGCTCAGGCCCACAGAGAAAATCAATGTGTTCAGCGGAGATGGTGAGTGCCCTGCCTGTGCTGCTCCATTGTACTGTACACACAGGAGATAACAGCTCTGCACTAAACAAGGCCCTAGAAATAAAAAAGAATCATTCTAAGGCACATCTGAAGCTGAATTATTTGGCTTGAAATGTAGTATTTATTGAGTAGAAGTCATATTTGCTATCATTCATCGTTGTCACTTCCAACCTGTACAGTTCAAATGAGAGCTTATAAATCATACATCTATCCAGAGGTCATTCAAACAGAACCACGTCGTTCATCATACATTTTTGGATTGCTCCTCATTATTCTAATCATGAGATTAACTGTAATATGTAATGTGTCTAGAAACCATTCATACACGTTAAAGGAATACTTCATCTTTATAATGTGTATTTGTAAGTAATTCAACCTGAGTTATCGTGAATTCTTGAAGAAATGGCGGACTTTTTTCGGAATAATGACGTTTAGTCGTTTCATTTAGTCACTTTTATGACATAGAAGCTTTGGACATTCATGTGTGGGGTATTCACTGACGTAATTGATGTCATAGAACAAAGTGTGAAATTCTTGTAAGGTCGTTTTCATCACAGACTTTATTTTAGACATCTGACCAAGCCATGTTCACTTATAGACAAGGGAACCTTATCATGCTATCTCCGGGTTTTAGGGCTCATTCTGGCACAACTCTTTCAGTTGATGAAAATAGTTTATAGTCAGTATACTACCTACAGTATGAGCGTTTATGAGCTACTTCTCTGAGTATATGTACCAGTGGATTACTATGGTGGCCGACCAGTGCAAATGTGCTTCAATGGCCCAAAACACAATGATACCAGGGGAAATTAAAATGTGATGCACATAGCTGGGACTGCTTGTTGACGTTCAGAGATTATAAAGTTGGCAAATTGTCACTGTCACTGGAAACTTACCTAAAGTTTAAGTTTTATTGACTTATTTTAGCAATGTGATGACATTATTCCTTACGATATTATTGCTGATTTGCTTAAGCTAGCTAGCTAACGAAGCGAACCTAGTCATTTCAAATATAATGACAAATCACTTACAATTATGAGACAGACTCTGCAAACATTGATTTTTGGAGGAAGTTCTTTACTGTTAGGACATTCCAGAAAAAAGCACCAATTTCTCCCAAATGATAAGGTAACAGAGGTCATAGATATAGATTTATTGATACTGATTATTTTGTCGGTGAAGTATCCCGATAAGCATCAGATTTTTCAGGTCTTTTAATCATCTCAATGTTATAACATTTTAGTAGTAGCATTGTCTTGTTGTCAATTATTGTAATATGTATTTTGCCTTCGATCGACTTTCCAATTAAATGTTGGCAGTTTTAAGGCAAACTTGACAAATGAGTCAGCACAGAACAATATATTCTGTTTCATCTGTCACTGCACTTTGAACTGTTGACTCACAGATGAAAACAGCATGAGAAGTGTTAGTTCTGAAGGGAAAATAAACTAAAATGGAAGGAAAACACTGCACAATTGTAACAAGGTATGATTGTTTCTGGCCTTTAATAAAAATACATATTATAAAAAAGAGCATTGTGTAAGAAAACATGTATTCATTCTAATGTTGATTAAAGCATAATGTCCGAGTGGGACTACTACATTACAGTCCTATATACGTCAGTGCTGGTGTGTGACACTGAGGTGTTTGTGCTGCAGGAGAAACATGGCGGTGCAGACACCAGGTGTCCTCTGATGGTGAAGATCCTGGACGCTGTGAAAGGGACTGCGGCCGGATCGGTGACACTCAGGCTGTCTCAGAAGACTGCTGATGGGGGATGGACACAGATCGCTAATGGGTATGAAACAAAAGGTCAAGTGTGTTATCTGTTGAATGTGAACAAAGCATGCAGACAGATTGCCCTGCTCCTCCGTGCAGAATAACAGACGCCACTGGAGAGGTCCATAACCTCATCACAGAGCAGCAGTTCCCAGCAGGAGTGTATCGGGTCGAGTTTGATACCAAAACTTACTGGAAGAATGAGGGCAGCACGCCATTCCATGAAGTAGCTGAGGTAAGTATGAAACAGTCATTACAACTCCTTGCTACCATGTGAAGAATTCACGTTGATATTAGAACACCTGTTCCCTGTGCTTACTCCCCCCCTGCCTGAAATGCCTCCATTGGACTCCTTTGTTTACTTCCGTAACATGGTGACATCACTATGGTATCATGGTGTTGGTTAAAGAGGAAATTCGGTGATCTTTAACATAAGGTTGGATTTTTTTTTGCTGCTGATTTTGTGAAAGTCATCAACTTAAAGTCTTCTCGGGTGGTACTGTTGATGGTGGTGGATCATGGAGGTTAGACCCCCTTTAAAGATTGGACTGTTTGTCTGACCACATTAGAAGTCACAGGTTCATGGTTGTTCTGAATATTGAGATGAAAAGTAATCCGTCATATTTAGGGAAAGACGTGATATCATTTGAACATATTCTTACACAGGCTCTCCTAAAATCATTGCGGTGCATTCAATTGTTCACATGAAAAGATATCTGAAGAACAAAAAAGAGATCTGAGAGAGAAGTTTCCGTGCACAGACAGCAGCAACACATATAACCTATGTAGAGGCTTATCTTCTCTTATCAGATCCATCTCGAAGCCTGACAGCAGTGGCCCAGCAGAATGATCGAGCAGCTGTTTACTATTCCGCTGTTTGTCTGCAGTGTGAGCTAACACTTCCTAGAAAAGCACGGCCAAAAGTCATCCGATATCATTATCTATAAACCTATTCCTCTTATTATTCCGCGTAGGTGTAAACATCAATTGTCAGTTTTTATCAACATCATTCAGTTTGTAGAACCAAGTCAATCACAGGTTTTACTTCCAAATTCTGTTCCACCAAATCTTTAAACATTGTTTTGGTAAACCTGCCTTCATATCAGCACGTTGCTTATACAGGGTTCCTGCAGGTTTCACCAACTCAAATTTAAGACTTTTTAAGACCCCGCGGGAACCCTGTTATAATGTCATTAATTTCAGAAATGACTTGATTTTATTAAATACCATGTTTGATCTGTATCTCCATCCTGGCCTTAACAATAACTATTTTCCAACATATATAGGTCCCTCTGTCTAACCGTTCATGTCATTGATTCTGTGTGGGTGTATGTTTGTGCACGCAGGTGGTGTTTGAGGCCCATGCCGGAGGTCATCATCACTACACCTTGGCCTTGCTGCTCAGTCCGTACTCATACACCACCACAGCCCTGGTCACCGATGCACACTAGTGAAAAACATCCTAGAGTGAAGGCTGCAGATCAGACCTTGTGTTGATCCAAACCAACGATAAATGTATCCACTATCAATGACTCTGTGTGTATCACAGCCTGACGTTTCATCTTCGTCTGTGCCATAGAGCTCCATTAAAAACTCATCCGTGAGCTACACTGTTGCACTGGGTGAGATGTTCTTTCATTACCATGAACAAACACAGTGTCTCCGTTTTTTCTCTCACTCCAGCACTAAATGTGGGATAATTAGCTTAAGAAAATAGGTCTGTGTGCTACCTACAGTACGAGGTTGTATGACATCTTAATAGTCAGTGCATACAGGAGTAGATGATAGTTTTTCGTAACAGACTGGTGTGAAGACAACCCATTCTGATGGAGAACTAAAGCTGTTAAGGGAACTGATGCTGTAATCAGAGCCACCAGACTCTATTGACCAAACAGTCATTTTACCACGGGACCTTGGTTAACTTAGATTTAACAAAGTCACACTTTTACCAGCAATTATTCTGTGTACTTTTAGTATGTAGTCTGGTGGCTTTAGCAAGTGCAACCTTGGCAGATCCAGTCACCTTTCGCAAACAAACAGTGTTTAGCTCTCGAATGCCAAGGTAAGAAGTACAAATAATACAAACATTGTGAACAGATACTGATTTGTTTTTCTTCTGTAAGCCTGTCTTTTCTATGTTCTTCTGTGGAATTATTGGACATTCTTGTAAAAGGTGCCCTCACATGCATCCGAGCAGTGAAAAGCCACAGGAGAGGGAAACGGGCCGGGACGCACGTGCGCCTCCGGAGCCGCAGACTTCGCACACCGCTACCCGGAATATTTCTCTCCAAAGTGCGTTCCATAAGCAATAAACTGGACGAGCTTCAGCTACTGGTTAGTAGAAACATAGACTTTTCTTCATCTTGTGTTTTGTGCTTCACTGAGACCTGGCTGTGTGGATCGATTCCGGACTTGGCACTGCAGCTGGGAGGCTTCCAGCTGTTCAGAGCGGATCGTGACACGGAGCTCTCTGGCAAATCAAAAGGTGGAGGAATATGTTTTTACACTAACAGTGGCTGGTGCAACGATGTGACAGTGATTCTGCAGCACTGTTCTCCCACTCTGGAAACTTTTATCATCAACTGCAAACCCTTCTATTCCCCCCGCAAGTTTTCTTCATTCATACTGGTCGGTGTTTACATCATGCATACAGCATGCGAACGTGCAGGAGGCGCAGTACACACTCACCGATCAGATACTGTGGAGAGGACTTATCCGGACTGCCTAGTTATTGTTCTTGGTGACTTTAACAAAGGCAACCTCAGCCACGAACTACCAAAATACAAACAGTTTATTAAATGCCCCACCAGAGAGGGGAATATTTTGGATCACTGTTACACCACCATCAAGGGAGCCTATCACGCCGTCCCCCGCGCTGCACTGAGCCACTCTGACCACACCATGGTCCACCTGACAGAAACTCAAATGCGGCTTTCACACCAGCGCTTTTCCCTTTCTAGCTCCTAGCGAGAGCTTTTCTGGTTCAGCTCCGGTTTCCCTTTTCAGCTCCCGCTCTGTTCACACTGCCCAGAGCTGCCGCTGCTGCGTCATGACGTCACAGTTTACGTTGCTGATTTTCTCCCACAACAACAACGGGCCGGGGACTGCGTCGGGTCGATGATCGTGTTGCTTTTAATCATACGAAGCCAGATTAAATTAAATAACGACTTCTCCAACCTTATACTTTTCTCCAGAGTGCCGTGGTTCATTGTTTATTAATGTGTTTCAGCGGCATTTACCGACCGCTGCAGTGCTGGCTGCACTTCCACGGGAGTTTATTCTCCCGTTAGCTCCGGATTAGCTCACACGGCTCTAAAGTATTCACTGTCTGACTGTCACACAAGCAGCTGATACATATCCCCAGTTCCCCTTAAGTGAATGTGTGTCAGTCTGAATTGACGCTGTTTGGCATCACAACGCTGTTATGAAAGTTTCTCTGGTATAACATGGGTGATGTTAGCATAGCAACCGAAGCTAAACTGACTACTTGCTAAGCCGTTTTCTACAGGCACATTTTACCGGCGTATTTTTCATTATGATTCTACTTGTGATAGTCGGACATGACAACCTGTACAGCCCATGTATCTCCACAATGATCAATAACAGCGAACGGATGGTCAAAGTAAGGTTTCCTGCACGCCTCGACGTAAGAGACGTAAGAGACGTAAGCGACGCCGCGTCATAGCTCCGAAGCTCTTGCCTCTGGACCGACAATTTTTTGGAGCTGGAAGTGAACCGCATTCCGGAGCTATGACGCGCCGCCGCTGCGGTGTGAACAGGAAAAACCGGCGCTTTTCAGGCTCTAGCTCCGAGCAGGAGCTGGAAAAGCGCCGGTGTGAAAGGGGCAAAACTGTGTAAACCTGTAGTGAGGACATTCAGGCAGTGGAGCAGTAAAGCTATGGAGGAACTTCAGGCGTGTTTGGACTGTACTGACTGGGACATGTTTAGGACTGCTACTCAAAGTCTGGATGAACATACAGAGGCTGTGACGTCATACATCAGCTTCTGTGAGGACAGCTGTGTACCAACACGCACCAGGGTGAGTTTCAACAACAACAAGCCCTGGTTCACACCTAAACTGAAACAGCTAAGATTGCAAAAGGAGGAGGCGTTTAGGAGTGGCGATAAGGCACGTTTTAGAGAGTCGAAGTACGTCTTTAGCAAGGCGGTGAGTGATGCTAAACGATAATACTCTGAGAAACTCCAACACCAGCTCTCAGCAAACGACTCTGCTTCTGTCTGGCGTGGTCTAAAGGTCCTTACACACCAAACTGACACCAAAGAACACTAAAGAACACGTCCCGACGGAACGTCGCCTCACGTCTCCTGCGTCTTGGCCATGTTTCGCACTGGAACACACCGCAAAGACTTCAGCCGACGGCCAAGTTGCACGTACGAACTGCGCATGCGTGAGTGGCAATAACTCTCCTTACCAGCAGGCGTCGGTAGTGTGTATTCGTCATTCAAATAAGGCAACAACCGGAAGACAGACTGTGTGATACACCGAGAGAAGAAGAACAGACTGCGTGATATAAACAAACAACAAATAGCGTGTGCGTTCCATTTTCACTCTACAGCGAGAAGCTCATGGGGCTTTCCCGAACCTGTGTCGAGAGCTGGAGTTAAATGAAATCTCAGATTTGCCTTCTTAATAGTTTGTTTGGGTCCCTCACTTCCGTTTCGCTTCTCATGCACTGATTCGCTAAGCTGAATAGCCAATCAAAGTGATTTATTTGGCCGACAGCCTCCCGATTCAACATGTCGAATCGGCGGCGGAAGGTGTCGGCACGGCCGAAAAGACACGACGGTGTAGTACACACCAAGACACACCAATCTGAGAAAGGCGACACAATGCTCATCGACGGCCCGACATCTATCGACGCCGAAAATCGGCTTGGTGTGTAACCAAGACAGATCACAAACTACAAGCCAAAAGCCTCACTCTCCATGAACGATCGACGCCTTGCAAACGATCTGAATTAGTTCTACTGTAGATTTGAAGACAAAGAGTTCAGTCCTGACACCATCCCCCATGACACCTACCAACAGCTTCAGACCCCATTTACACGGGAACGTTTGCGTTTACGCACCGTATGTGTTTACGCACCGTATGCATTTTCAAAAAAGTTCAAAATACACCAAAAGCAGCAAAGAAGACCCCGGAGCATGGTTGCCATGGTTGCCCTTCTGTTTATTCTCCATGGTGGACGGCGTGTGCTCCTGCTGTAAATCTCTCCGGTAGTCCACCAGCAGATGAAAAACACCCACCTCTCCGCCTCTTCCAAGGGACGAGGGAACCATGCGGCAGAGTTTCCGTTAACATTTTTTTTCGCCGGTCAACATGTCCGTTAAAATTTAAATCTTCCGGACAAAATTTGAAAAGTGCCGGTCAGAGGTCTTCTTTGTTATTTATTGAGCTTTAAAACAAATTGATAACGACTCTATATAATATAAGAATAATAAACGGAGCCTCTCTTTTCCTCCCCCTCTTCTGACAGCCCAGCAGCTGATCTCTGAGCAGGAGACGTGGGGAGAGGGAGACGTGGGGAGAGGGAGGCGGGGCTATTTCATCGTTATCAGAAAATGATCGTATAGAGGCGATTACACAAAGCCGTTTGACCCCCCAGAGCGTTCCGTTTGCAGATCTATCCACCTTGGGACCCGTTATCGTTTGCGGGGTCCGTTTCTATCGTTTTGTTACGGCCTCGTGTAAACGAAAGGGCTATACGCAAGAGAAACTATGCGGATACAACCCGTATCGTCCTCGTGTAAACGGGGTCTCAGTCTCTCACCTCCACGTCCCCCTCCCCTTCAGTGTGCCACTCTCTCACACCACTGACCTCCTCCGATACATCAAATTCTCTCTCAATCAATGAAAGGGATGTAAACAGACTTTTCAAAAACGTAGTACCAGAAAAGCGGTTGGCCCTGACAATAGGCGCTTTCACACCGGAGTACTTTTCCCTTTAAGTTCCGATAGTTCCTGGGATTTTGTGTTCACACCAAAAAGAGAACTTAGTTCATGAGAACTTTTCCCCCCTTTTCAGTCCCTGCTAGAGAGCAGGTACTTTCCTGGGGAGAAAAAAGTTCCCATTTCTGATTGGCTGGGCGAATTGCAAACCACGCCCCGTAAAACTCTGAAAAGTTTTGTGAAGCCGCCATTGTATTTGCTGGCATTAGCATTATTAGCATTAGCATTATTAGCCCAGCGCACCAACGGAGAGAGACTAACTTATGGCAACACAAAAAAAAACATGGGAGCGGTGGAGTGATGAGGAGGTGTCGGCGTTCTGGCGATTTACTCGGAAGGCTTCAGTAGTAGAGTGATTCTACAATTTAGGGTACATTCCATGTCCATTGATGTCCATTAATGATAATTATAATTATTCTAACTATTTTCTTCAAAAATATCATGTTTTGCCTATTATTGGAAAGCATGTTATAATATCACACAAACATTATGTGCATCCTATGCTTTATTTAGCTAGAAATGTGTCATGATGTTCTTAAATTGTCAGTTTTTGCTATGTCCGTTTTTCAGTTGAGGGTGTCTTGGTTTCAAAATAATGAA